ATATGCTCAACAATATTGACACACCCATGTAAACAAATATCATACTTGACAAAAGTTTGATATAGATTCTGACAAAGAAGACAGTGCTCGCGGCTTCAAACGGAAGAATATCGTGCGAAAGGCTTACGATTGGAAAACCAACAAACTAGACCAAGCATATTCCGTCGGGGTCATTGAGTTCTTCAATAGAATTGGAGAAGATTAATGAAGTCAGAGACGGAGAGAAAATGGATCTGTCGTGGCGTGTAGAGTTTCAAAGATTTAGGGAAAAAATAGATGTTCTTGGAGGTGAAAGGGGTATACATATTGGGCCGGTTTCCATCCACCTGGTTTTTTCATTTCCACATCATTCTATCAACCCTTCTGTACGAATAGTCGGTTCCTGGCCAAAAACATGGGAAAATTATACACACCTGTTTTTAAATTTTTCATCTCAATAATTAGATCAAAAAAAATTTCTTTCCAAAATTAGGTGCCTACGTCTCATCCCACCTCATTCCATACGAACTGCGATCCCCATTTTCACCCCCACGAACACCTTCGGCTGCCATCTCTAGCCTCTACTTCCCACCACCTGCCATTTACGGATTCACTTTCAAATTGCAATCCCCACACTTGATTGGCCCCAACACCATGTTGAGGCTAAAATCTGCACAAGAAAAAAGAGCTCTCGAATGTGCGAACCAAAAACCTTAGATTTGACATCATCGATGGGACCCACATCACAGACTTACACCCAAGCTTCACCATCCCAATTTTCTACCACTCCAGTCATGGCTTCATCAATTGGATCAGAATTTGCTTTTTAGTTGGTCCTATGCTTTGCTTCTACGTCTGTGCTTGAGGTTTGTTGAAGGTGACAATGGTGGTGGATTTTGAGGTGAAGGTGGTAGTGATGATTGTGACTCTGAGGTGATGGTGGTGGAGGATTTGAGATGCATGTGGGAGGTGGTTGTTAATTTAAGGTGTAGGTAGGTGTGGATTTGAGGTGATGGTGGTGATATTGGGAGGGGGTTGTTAATTTAAGGTGTAAAATATGTGATTTGTAACTAACTAGGTAAATGTGACCCTCGAAATATGTTTTTGTGATAATGATCTTGCGTTATATGTGATTGGTATGTAACCATGATTATAAATTGTGTTACTGCGACAGTGACCTATTTAATTAAATTATAGGCCACTTTAGGACGCAACAATATACTCGATAAGCCTAAAATGGCTTTTAAAGGACCTAGAAAGCTAAAAGCATTTCCAAACTTCACAATAAGCTGAAAATAAATATTCTTAACCCAAACATGACATTTCACACACAAAAAATCGTCATTTCCTAAAATTTTCTCAATTTTGCACTTTAGGCCTTGGTTGATCTGCGTTTAACTTACTAATTATGCCTAAAAACTTACTTTTAAATTTTCTAAAAATAGTAACACTATTATCATAATAATCATCATTGTCATTGTCGTCGTAGTCATTAGTGTCTTTTTCTTCATCATCACCATCATCGAGAAATAACTGCTCTTAGTATTTTTGATTCTCAATTTCTGTTGACTAAATTTTATCATATAGTTAAATTTCAAATTTCAGTTTCATGTTTTCTAAACTTCGGTTGTTAGAGCATAATTTCGTCCCCCAACAAAAATAAGATAATGTCAATTATGTCGCGTTCTCTTTGGGTTTCACTTTGAAAACGGGAAATAACCAAGTTCAAAAAGTTGAATTTAGCAATCTGCTATAATCAGTTAGAGTACGTTTGATTGCGAGTATGGAATGTATATAAAAAAAATAAATTCTAGTCAATTCAATTGCCTAAAATTTATATTTATGGAAATCATTAATTAAATATGTTTAATTGATTTGCTTTAAACCTAGAAAATATTATGATTGTCCATTTTTTATCGGTGAATAGATGAGAGAGAAGGGATAGATGAGAGAAAAAAAAAGAGAGAGAGAGAGAGAGAGAACAGGGACTCCTTGTAGAATAAAATCCTAATTCCCTTAAAAAAAATTATTTTCCTTAATTTTAAGTAAAATATGATCATATGAAAAAATTTTGAGTTTACGTGCAAAACAATTTATTTTATGCATGTGTGATTGAAAATGATCCTACTTTCAACTCTTATCATATATGAATATCAATACTTGGACTTGGGGGACTATTAGTACTGTTAAGCTAATAATAATTAAAAAAAAAAAAAGGAAGGAGAAGATAGAAACTATTGTTTACTTAATACTGAATTCCACGCATGATATGAATAACGATACATGGACTTAGGGAATTATTGTTAAACCTCGCCACATGTAGCAAGTCCATATAGGCCCATTTGTTGATTATTGAACTAGCTGACCTACTTCACGGAAAATCATATCCATCAAAGCAGTCTTGTGGCAAAGATGAAGCCCCAAAACTAAGCTCAGTTATTTGTCAAGGTGATAAATCTTGACACAAGTCAAAGTCGAAAGTCCAACTATAGCAAGAGACAACCCACACAAAAGGATTCTGAATTTATGTAGAAAAATTTTGGAATGATTGATGGGGCTTTTTTAATAAGTAAAATATCTTGTCGTGTCAGTTTAGATTATAGGGTGACTGCTTTTAGAAAGAACATTAAATGCGCCACAATCTAGGGAGGTCAAATTGATGCCTAGAATTGTACGCTTCAACTAAGAAGATAAAGCCACATGGATTTTCATCCAATGGACAATGTTTCATTTGTAACATTATAAATACCCCATCTGTGTATCATTTGAAGACATGCAAATTAATTCACTTGAAGCAACTATTTGTTTTCTCTCTTGCTGAATATACCCCGGATTTTGCTTGAGCTAAGATTATCTAGCTTTAGTTAAATTGTTGATGATTGTTATTATCATACAATCGTTCTCAAACTATATTGTTGGAGCCCGAACATATTCGTCTCGTATTATAAAGCATCTTTCACGTCCAAATTCGAAATATTATCGACTAGCATCCTATCCATTCATGTTGAAATTTGTTTACGTGTACAGAGTGGAATTGGCATCTATTGTTCATGTCGCCCCAACGGAAAGCGAGGTCAACAATATACACCTGTCACCTCAGTACGGGAAATCTTGCCCACAAGATGGATGACATCTCAGCTGCACATTAATGTGGACAAGGTGACAACTTAGATATTTCTTATTTCCAATGTCATTTTGAACATTTTTCGTTAAATTAAGAGTAATAGATGCTCTTTATGTTTCGTGACCAAAGCAAAATTTTAATCAACTTTTCTCTCCATTAATTATCATTAATTCTATTTAAACTAGAACAAAGTGGTCCAACATTTTCATAAAATGGTTTTCTAATATGGCCCTTATTGCACTAACAAGTGGTAAAGTTGGTATAGATTACAACTTAAAAGAGTCTTCGGGCGTATTGACTATTGGGATAAATTTAGCTTGTGATTGTGTATAAGAGTATCGGGAGAAAGTTAATTTGGATCAATTTTATATAAGCCTTGTAGAAAAATATTGTTTTAAATAGTGATTTTTTTTTGGAGAATACGCGATTTCAAAGTTAAAAAAAAAATTTGGGTTTACGTATTTGTAGAATATTTTAGTGTGTGAATTATTGTTAAAAATGAGTATGCAAAACAAAGTTTTGCAAGAATAGAAGTCAAACAGAGGCTAAAACTCATTTAATCAGACAAATCACTTTCTGAATATTTTACAAATATACTAGAAACCAATGTTTTAATTTCAAAAATAACTTTCGACTTTTCAAAAAACATATCAAACGTAATCCATATCTTATTTCAAATGCCACTAATCCTACCAACGAAGGCGCGTGCGACAACAAAGACGACGTTCCCAAAACAATTTAATCTTTATCCATTTTATTTTTGGAAAAAGCTGAAGTGCCAAAAGAGAGGCACCAGAAGGGCTGACAGAACACTCACAAAGCCAGGCCCAACATAAATAAACAAATGGAAGGAAGAAGTGACCCCACACCCCAAATGTGAGTGAAGGTAAGGGCTTCTGTCATGCTTCTTCTGGCAGAGAAGCATGGCCCTTTATTTTTATCTACTACTTTTTTTTTATCCCATTTTATCTTCCTTTTCCAATAAAAGCTTTCACCCTTTTTCTTTAAAAAATTCCATCTCTCTCCCTCTCTCTCTGGGTTCAAGAGAAGCCAACCAAACATAGTATAACGGTATCTGTCTCAACTAATTCTGGGTTAAACCATCAAGTTGATCGGGTTTTATACGTGTTTATTCTAAGCAGGTTTTGGCCTTCCATTTTCAAGGTTTTTCGATTGAATCCAATTATTGGATTTACTTTTACAACTTTAACCAGCACAGAAGTGGACAATGTAATTGGTTGGAATTGGCAAGATTGTCAAGAGAAATGTAAATATGTGTCAACTGTCAACCATCCTAAAATTACTCTATACAAAGTTCTTTCAATGCATTGAGTCTAAATTGTGATTATCCTCTGTGTATTTCCATAACTTATATCAAGTTTATCAATATTGGAAAATGCTAAACGAACATAATGTTTGATACAAATGATGACACCATACTCACAACCGAGGCGTGGGTCCCGCGCGAATAAAATAATGCCGACTTTTCCATGTATGTGCTCTGTCAACCGTTGTGTCAACCCCTATGTTCGTATAACACGGCCCATCAATATTTCCAACTTTTGATATAACTTATATCGATAAAAGAAAATGAAACTAAAACCCTTTCAAGGAAAATTGAATGATTTTTATGTAGAAGATAAAAACCAAAAATCTTCTGGTCAAAAACATTTTTAAGAGATGTTTAAATTCGTGTAGGAAAAGAGTATCAAGATCATTACAATTAAAAAATTTTGTACACCATCTACACGTGGCATGTGTGAACTATTGACACAGAAATGTCGCGACTTCGACATAATCAAAACAAAATAAGAGGACAAATTCCGAACAAAACAATTGAAGAATCGTCACAAAATAAGAAAAAAGTACGATATCTACAAAAATCAAAGAAAATCGTTAGAAGAGTATCCAGATGAAACATCACCTTAAATTGAAAACCTTCAGAACATAAAAGTAAAATGTTGATTCTTATTCCTATTATCATAGTAACTACAAATAAAACTAAAGAAAGAAATTCACATCGAATTGCTCGATCAATTTGGTGGTGGGAAGAAAATTTCCTCGGCCTTTCTCTTCGAGCTAAATTTCTGCTCTACATCAGGAGCAACATTGAATGATGCCTGGAGCACCTGAGGGGACAAGGCTTTCCAAACTGAAGTCCTTCCAGCTAAATGTGTGAAAATCGGACTGCCATTCACCACATAATTTAAGTCAGACGAGACTAAATCCCCGTTTGTCTACCATTAAATTGGAAAATGAGTTTAAAAAGTAGGAAAAAGTTTTGGATTTACGTGTAAATATTTTATTACGAAAGAATGTTACTGAAAATGTATTTGAGAAAAAAAGAGTTTTGAAATAATGTTTGAATTGCAAAGTAAGAAAAACTCACTTAGGAGTTGTGATGATAGAGAACCATTCCAAACCATCAGGATCAGCAATCTTTGAAACTACAAAGAACCTTGGAACAATGAAAAGATTACCAGCCTTAACAGTTGTTTCCAGGACACGCTTACCGTCAACCCCGACAACCTGAGCACGGCCACTTCCCCTGACAATATAGGTGACTTGCAAAGCAGAGTCACAAGAGAAACCAGGAGAACACATTGCACTTCCATTCAACATTACAAGATCAGCCCCAAGTCCAACTTCCCCGACTAACGGCAAATTCTTCGTGTTCAGAACGACGACCTTTCCGCCATTCTTAATGTCGACATCCAATGGTGCTTCCTCGCAATTTAAGGCCAAGCCATTGCGGTGCTCAGCCTTAGGCTCAGGCATTTGAAAACCAGCATCAAGTTTGATGATGCCCTTACCGGATTGCTGCCCAACAAGGGCATTCGCGACACTCTCTTCCAAGTCCCAAGCCCTGCTGACAAATTCGGTTGAGAATCCGGTGAAGATGCCATTCGATCCCGTCAAAAAGAAATCGGTGAAAGAACCAGGCTTGTGGGCTGTTTTGGTATCTCCAAGGAAGAGGATCACAAGTTCAGTGTTCAGTTTGTTGTACCACCAGGTGACAACACCAAAGGGAAGTGCAATGGCATCACCCTTTTTGATTGCAAGCACCTTTTCTTCCTTTTCTGGACGCACAATTCCAGCCACCCCGCTACCTGAATTAAAGCAAAAGAGAATGAGATAGGGAATATTATTAACTGTATAAGAAGGTTTGTTAGTAAATTTTTATCCAATTTGTAGCAAATTTTTTCATGTTATATAGTGTATGTCAGTCTCATACTAGTTGCAATTATTGACTGGACCAAGCAGAATGACGTATGTGCCCCTTTAATTTTTAATTCATTCTTCTTGAAAAAAGGGCATTTCTAATAATTTATTTCTAAAAGGCAGTCGATAATTGTAGCAGCAATGGGACCCAGGTGCACTTGCCAACAGTAAAAAAATTTGCTAAAAATAGGATAAAAATCGCTCCCAAGCAAGGGTTAGATCACAAATTTAGAAGAGGATTACGCATTCATAGCAATAAATGTACCATGACTGAGAATAAACTATCACTATAGTCTTGAGGTACAGAACGAAGATCACAAATTCAAAAGGAAAATACAAAAGTGTCTCTAAGTTAAAATTTTCGATGATAGCTCTCCTGCCAAGGTCTCTGCTCAAATGGACATATCAGGTTATCTAAACAGTCAGCCTATGCTAATAATTTCATTTGTTTTGTATTTTCTTGAATGTTGAGCTCGTTAATGCTTAGTCGAGATTGTGAACAGAGAAAGACTAGATATAATAATAAATTAGAGATAGACGATTCAGTAGATAAACAAACGATGTACTCGATAAAGTGGATTAAAGAGTATGTACAGCCCATATAAAGGAAGAAAACAAGCTAAATTTTGTCCACGATGCTATCCAATCTCAGTACAAAAAAGGGTATACAGTGAAACGTCAAAATAGTGAGATGTGCCAATGTAAAACCAACCTAAAAAAAATATATAGAGAAATCTAAATGAAAATGCTACACACTTTTTTTTCACAGCCCTCTCACGAAACGTGGGACCGCTATTATTTTAGGTGTGGGCCGCCCCACCCTTGAATGTGAGCGGGCTGTCAACAGTGCCAGTGCTGTACCTGAAGCATTTCTCGATCTAAATTGACTAAAACAGAAAATTTTCTGCCAAGAATAAGAATAGAAAAGAATGGGACCTTTGAAGGTTTGGGTTCCCATTAAAAAAGAAGTGATGCATATTTCACAATAACACTGTTCTAAAACTGATACCATTATCTAAAAGGCAGAAATTAAATATTGATTAAAGCATCAAAATCCTTTTGCAAGAATAAGAATGGAAAACCATAAATTTACGAAAACTTTTAAAGATGCTAATCACTAAAAAACAGAGGGAATAATTTTCCCAAGCTGTTGAAGATGCTGCTAATTACTAAAAAATATATTTCTGTAATAGCTGAAACCAGAGACAGAATTCAAACAAATTAATAACTGGTAGAACTAGAACTCTATAAATAAAAAATACCTGAAAAAAAAAAAAACCGGAAGATCACTTTATTTATGCAATTAATAAAGCTAAAATTCACAAAATATTGTGGGGACAGAAAAAAAATCTGACCTTGAAGAACAAAAGCAACCTTGGCGGAATCAGAGTAACAAGGCATAGCCAAGCCATTCTTCTCCAAAGCAAGCTTTGCAGCGCCGATATTGCCTTCACGTAGCATCGGGAGTTCATTTGGGCACCATGCACAATACGTTCCGCCCTGTCCTCCGTACACTTTCTTTGCCAGCTTTGGTGACAGATCAAGCTCCATCTCTAAAAACTATGAAATTTAGCACAACACAGCGAGAAGCTATAAGGAAAAATAATTAATCGAATCAAATCTTTCGAGGATAAGAGCTGAGTAAAAGAAAAAAGATATGTTTAGTGGAATAGGATTCTTTATCTGAGATTCTGTTAATTATTTTTTATAGCATATTATTATCCTAAATGATAGTGAATGCATTTCATCTCAAAAAGTTAATTTTACTATCGTTACTTTTCCAAGTTAATGTCAATTTTGACTTCTTCTCTTATAAGTGGAACTCACCTTTCTCTCTAACGATAAAAAAATCAATTCTCATAATCACTATCGAATTAGCCCTTAGTTAGCCTCGGTTTGAATCTAATTTTAATGAAATTATTCAACTTTTCTACATTTTGCTATAGGAACATAACCTAGTGAATTACCCAAATGATTACTGAACTTTGTAAAAAGTTTGCACAGGATCATTAAATTTTAAAAATTATCCAATTCATTACTGAATTCTGTAAAAGATTTTCCAGTACAAAGCATAGAAACCTTTTGCAAAGTTTGGTGATGAATGAAGTGATTTTTAAAGTTCAGTGATCTCACGAAAATTTTTTGTAAAGTTCATTGATGAATTAGGTGATTTTTAAAATTCAGCGACCTCGTGAAAACTTTTTACAAAGTTCAATGACCACTTGGGTAATTCACTCGAACATAACCCTCCTTTTACAAGTCAAAATTACATTACAACCCCACACCAGCTTAATGGAATTGCAGTGTGGAAAATTTTAATGAAATGGCAAAATTGGAAATTAGTAACTTTTTTGGACATATATGGTAGGGATGACAAATTGACTCGAGGGGCTCGGGCCGCCCGTGGACGCTTGAGCCAGCTCGAGCGGGCTCAAANNNCAGCTGCCTGCGTAAAGGTAATAAAAAATAAGAAGAAGAAGAAAGGAAAAAATCGAGCCAGCTTGGTAAGGCCCGAGCTTAAAGCTCGAGTCGAGCCTCAATTTTTTGGTCGAGCTTTTGCTCGGCTCGAGCCAAAAAAAGCTCCCAAAAAAAGCTTGACCTAAAAAGCTCGAGTCGAGCACGAGTCTCGATTTTCAGCTCGGGAGCCGACTCGACTCGACTCATTGACATCCCTAATATACGTTGAATTCATAAGTCAAAATTGCCCCTATTTTGGTCATCAATTCGCACTTTATTCAAACATGAAAAGGCCTACTTATTTTGAAATTGAAAATACAAAATGTGAATTGATGGGGACCAAAGACGATTAGTTGTTGAGCAAATTCCACCTACAATTGAACAAATCAACCAATTAGTGAAGGAATTTGCAAATAAAGAAGAAAGGAAATTAAGAACCAAAATCACAAAATTATAGAACAATGTTTTCCCCTTCTAGATTAGGCTCAGAAAATCGATCCAACACCACAAATGTATCTCCAATTTGAAAGCCTTTCGAGTCACAAAGATAGATTCACACTATGGCAGAGGCATGTTCTTTCTTTCGCACAAAGCAGAGAAAGTTTTCTTGATTTTTGGTGTGTTTAAAATGAAGGAGAGGAACTCCAATTTATAGGCTTCAAGAGGAAACGAATTTCCTTGAATCTTGCAAGATTGAGTTCAATCAAAATTGAAAGAAAGAGTTCAATCAAAATGAGAGAAAATGTTATCAAAGATAAGGATTATACTTATCTATCTTTCACGTAATTTTCAAATTACCTCCAAAGTTGGGTATTGAGTACCTAGCCCAATTAGTTGATTACCTCTAAATATCCAACATAATTGGGCTACTATCAATTGTGGTGTGGATTTAATATTCTTCAATCCCGAGTTTATAGCATATAAAGATAATCTGGCCACGATTTTTCATCATTGTCTAGGAAATTTGGGTATCACTTACTGAAATGCCCAACATTAGTTATATATTATAGGCGAAAGTGTCATTGGCATGTGTTTTTTAATTATTTGTTAAATAATTTATTGAAATTAGTTGTAATAAGAACTAATTTTTTAAAATTATTTAGGGGGGTGGGGGGGGGATTAGTTATGAGCTTGTTTGGTACAATTTAAAAGTCTATTATAATCAATTTTTGACCGTTATTTTACAATTTCAGCCGTCATTTTTTAATTCTTCTATCACGGATAGAACCCACTTTATTTCTAACGTTCAAAAAATCAATTATCAAAATTCCCTACCAAACAAGCACTATTTAGTTCTTGTTATGCCTTGTTTGATATTGAATTTTTCTCACTTTTTAATTACTCGTTCTCTAAAAATAATCATTTTTTACGAAATTTATTATTTAAAAATTTACATCATGGAGACCTCACCTTAGTGAGAATAATGAGAAAAACATTATATTAAAATTACTAAACATATTTAGAATCGACCGAATAACGGATTTCCTTTTCATTGCTTCGTAATGAAAGATGCTACAAGTACAGAAAAATCAATAGAAAAGTAAAAAAAAATAAAAAATACACTTGGGGGTTTCTATTGGAAGATAGGAAAAAAAAAAAATGACCGAAAAACAGGTTTAAACCCTTTGTAAATGGATTTATGCTATAGGCTATAGCCCTCATATTTGAATCAAAATACATCGGGTTTTAAAACCGATGATTTCTTATTTTCCAGGGCATTCTATAAAAAGACACGTGATAATATATATATATATTCCATTTTATTTATTTTTCTAATTATATAAAAGAACTAATTTTCTACTTTTTTTTCAACAATTATACACAATTTGACGTCTTTTTATTTACTAACTCGAACATCCCACATATTCTATTTGACTTTTGATAACAATGATTATAATTTTATAAATAAAATTTTAAAACATACACATACTCACCCCTATATTATATATTTATCGGTACATATAAATCTAAAAAGTCGAAATTAAAATCTCTAGTGTATCAACATGGCTATATAATAAATAGCGAATTAGGCCCCCCAGGGCACTTCTCCACTGGCAAAGGACGGACGCTGTCAAACCTGGCAGAGCAGAGGTCGTGAGTTCGAAACATGGGGCTCTTGGAAGGCAAGGTGCAACTTGGATTGGCTTGCTTGGCACTTTTTCAGACCAGGTGGGGAGCGCTCGGACCCTGGCCAGTTGGAGGCACATCCTGCGATTAACCGGACTGTGTGAAGAGGGGCCGGATCACAGACTCAAGGATTAGTCTAGAATAGGACACCTTGTAAAAAAAAAAAAAAAAAAAATAGCGAATTAGATATCAACATGGCTATAAAATAACAAACATTATTCATTTGATGAAACTTTTATTAGAATTCAATAATGATTCATGTTATTAAGATCTTAACTAGCATTTTCAAGGAAAAAAAATTAATTCTGCGTTTATTTGAAAAGGAATAATTTTTCTGTTACATATCCCTATTTTCTTTTTCAGAATTAATAAGAAATTTCAAAATAGTGATAAACTTTGCTATTCATTAGTAAAATTTAAAGAAATACAGGAGGTATCAATGTTCAAAGGAAAACTTTAAATAAGAGAATGGCACTTAAGTGAAGAATGATTACACTGTCAAAAATTGAGAAATGGATGGTTTATACTTAAAACTCATGCTATGCATAATTTTCTACCAAAAGATGGAAGTTACTTGATAGAAAAATCATCCACAGACACGACGCTCGTTGGAGTCGACATAAAATTATTCCAACGGAAGCTGTGATGCCAAATCCTTTGAATGCAGCACAACTAACACGAAGATAGCCTGACATCAACAAATAATTGAAGATATTAGAGATTCCGGCATATTATGGATTCTACTTCAATGGACTTGAGGCCCCCTTTTCAGTGCTCTCTAAGGATAATGACTTCGGCTTACTATTCAAGAAGCTTTTTGCATAAAGGGAAGCGAATACAACAACTTGAAACCAAAACTCAGGAAAGTCGGGTTGTGTAGAAAAGAAATAAAGATTTGATGCATACTGCTCCAATGCCTGGTTCCAAGGTAAGTGGGTGGGAAAACCATACGCAAGACATTTAAATGCTCACCACACTGTATTGACAAATAAGTCAGACAAATCAGTTATGGATCAAGAACAGAAATTAGTTTTAAGGACAATTTCAAATGTATTCTAATGTACTATTTGAGTAATAGCAGAAACTGATGTTATACCTGTCTTGTGGTCATTATGGTGGCAAAGGATAGAGCGCCAAAACTGCGAATTGTGCAAGATATAAAGAATTGACTAATCGTTGCTACCTCAATACAAGATTATGTAAAGAATAATGCTTACAGGAGAAAGAATATCATATAAGTACTATGAAATGGAAAGTAAATATTATTGCTTACGGTTGAGAGAATAGCAATGTCAAAAAAACAATCACTATGCCCAGAAACAAAATCTATCGCCAGTAGAAGATTGCCTTATAAGAATTAGACCTGTATATCAACAAAAACATAACTAATTGACTATACTGGTAGCAAAATTGAAATACTGAAATACCAGAATAGAAAATGCACGACATAGAGCAAAGGAAAGTAACCAAAGGACGGGGGCAATCCATGAGATTGAACAACAATAAAATTATGCTACAGGACACTGAAAGTTGTTAAGACCTGAAGATTGCTACATAATGAGCCAAAAGATGAAGTGGGTGTTTGGTAAGTGGACTTCTTCATCAAAGAAATCCATTTACAGAACTTATTAGTGTTTTTGGAAGAGACTTCCATGAGAAGATTAATTTCTTTGAAGCCAAATAATGGTGGCTTTCAATTTTAACTTCTCCGGAAGTTATGGGAGTACATCCATATAGCAAAGTGCATCTTTAATATGAATTTCCAGTGTAAGTAGCAGCACCAGACATGCACAAAAGTTATAATTTATGCCCACTAATGCTCATTCTGTTTGGTTCATTGTCAAGATCTACTGGAGATGTAGAGAAACTATCCGTAGCAACAGGCAGCAAAACATTGAAGTTGAATAACAAAATGTTGGAGTCTCAATCATGCACTCAGATTCTACACCACCACTATACACATTCTCCATATCGTTAAAAATATTGTCTATAATAAACCTATATAAAAGAG